CCAATGCTTGAAGTTCCAAAAATCATAATAAATTCATACAAAATTTGAAAATTTCATCAAAAAATCTCACAAACTCTTTATCACATTTCCTTCATCTTTTAAGATTTAAAAATAATAATACTATTTTAACATATACAAAATTCAAATAATTTCACAAAGTCAAGTTTGTTTCTATACTAACAAAAATACTATTACTCTCCCTTACAATAACTCTTCCTCCCATTATTACTTCAAATTTTCTAAAGTCAAAATTTTATTTTCACAAATCATAATAGAAAATAATGTCACAAGGAGCTTTTAGAAAATTTCTATGCATTCTTCTGAATTTTTTATTCATTTTTTGTGAATTGTTTAATTTTAAGATGCAAAAATGAACCACTGATTGTAACAACCCGATCCTTAATACATTTTTAATTATTAATTTATTCAATTAAAAGACTAAAATACCCTCAAAATATTTTATTAGGATCAAAGTTGAGTTTTTGACCGGGAAAGAATTTGGAAATTCAGATTATATGGTTACATAGATCGCGTCGAATTGAGTCCGTAGACACGTAGTGGGTTTTTATCGGAGTTATAACGAAGAAAATACGATCAAAATACGTTGAGGGGCAAAATCGTAATTTTGTAAATCAGCTTTTGAAAAAAAAAAACCCTCTCTCTCTCTGCGCGCCACACCCACCCACCCACCCCCCCTCCCCTGGGTCGAGTTCTCCTCCAGCCGTGCCTCCCAATCGACCAAACCACCGCCTCCGGCCACCAGAGGCCACGGCACTAGAGCCAAATGGTCCGGCCCGACGCCGCCTTCGAAACCCAGGTCACCCCCCGCGGTCTACCGCCGTTGAACCGCCGGAAAAAGCCGAGAAACAGCCTATTTTTGACAGGATTTTCGCTGGCTCGATCTCTCTCCTCCGGCATCCATTTTCGGTGATCAAGGTATGGAATCTCATCTAATCTTCGAGATCTAGCTGATGGTTGGGTAGGAATTGATCAAATCGTAGTGTAGATAATCCAATTTTTGAACCCAAGATTCGGCCGGATTTCGGGATGAAATTCCGGCCACTTCCGGCCATTTTTCGGGGTATGTCCAAGAACAAAAGTGGCTCCAATCGATGTCTTGAACCTAGGGTAGGAAGCCTGGCCCTTGATTTTGAGATTTTTCCAATGAGTGTTATTGCTTTGGGCATCCACACACTGCAGGAGCGTGTGGTGGTGCGTGGGGTACTGTAGTGTAGGGGCATTGTGTCCCAGTGCGATCCCCTAATTGTCACGAGCGCGTAGGCGTGCTTGGATTACATTTTGGTTACTGTTTGAATACCGAACGGATTTCGCCTATTGTGCGTTATCCGGGTTCGATACGTTAGAACCGTTGGATCGCTCCCAATTTAATAAATGTTGTACCTTGTATTTTCAGGATCGTGTAAGATTCGACGGATCGTGAATCGGAGTTTCAGATACTTCGAAAGCGAGAACCCTAGGGCAAGATAAATTGTAGTCGTTCGATCGTGATCAATCCGACCATTCGATTTGGACGAAACTTGCAAGGTAGGTTCAGAAGAGTGCGTTGAATCTAGAGGGATTCCCGGAAATGTGATCAGAGGTAGTGGGCCCTGCGGTCCTGGTTGACCAAGATTAGGCAGTTTGGACCCTCGGTTGACCATGAGTCTTCCGAGGTAGTTTATCCTTTGAAAAGTGTTAGAACGACCAGGTAAATGAGTTTTGATCGGAAGTTGGGTGATTCTGACCTTGTCCGGTTAGAGGATTGTTTTATAGTATCTTATAGAAATTATTGGATAATACATCAATAATTGAAATTATGGAAGTGTATTATAGTATGTGATGGTAAACCTAAAGGGTATTGTTGATAATTGGGGATTATGCAATATAGAGAACTGATCTTTGTAAAATTGAGAAGAGAATATAAGTAATGCATGTAAATAAGAGGAATTTTAAGATAAAGTTCAGAATATGGTTTTCAACCCACTTCAGGAGTGCCCCCTAGTTGCCTTTGGAAACAGATTTTCCATTTATAACAATGCCCCACGAGTTTTACGGACACCTGAACCGTGTGGTGCGAGGAATGTGTCTTAGGCTGACTAATGGTCCCCTGAGGCCTGCGAGGGATGCGGTTCGGGTTGACTTGGTATCTTCGAGGTCTGCGAGGAATGCGGCTCCTTTAACCTTGGGTTTCCGAGGCTTGCGAGGATGAAATTGACGGATATATGGAATTGATGGAATATGGATGTGGGTACGTCCGAGTGGAGAGTTTTCTAAGATAAATAATTTTATATATAAGTACAACCAATTTCTTAAGCTATGAGTTGTTATAAAGTTAAAGAGTTAAAGAGTTAGAAGAACTATGTGTGGCTTGATCTCTTGTTAAGGGTACGTAGACAGTCTAGAGTTACTAGGTGCAACCGCAAGGTCAAGTGATTGAAAATCAGTCCAGTTAAGTTAATTTGAAACCTAACATTGTTCTGGAGATGTACTAAGATTTAGAATTGAATTTCATAAGCAGAATGATTTATTTGCTTTGTTGAGGCCTGAGGCCATAATGATATGATGCTTGATTGCTTGGATATAATTTAATGCATGCTGAACGATTGGGATATATATATATATATATATATATATAAATGTTTGTTGATAGGTGGAAACTTTTGGGAAATAAGCAAATTACAAGGGAGACTCTATTGAATTTTCGGTAGAAGTCTTACTGATAGAAAAATTGGTTTCTAGTTAGAAGGGCAATTTGATCATTTGTGCCTGGTATTCGCCAGGTGTCGGACACGCATAGGGTTTGACTCAGATTCCAAAGTGGAATTTGGGTCGGGTCCTGTCATTGATGACACGTGGCGCTATACGATACTGACACCTGTCGGACACTCTTATGACCCACCTATGAGACATTGCCATGTGTCATTCTTTTTCCATTTATTAGTATTTTTCATATTTTAACTTTCAAAAATCATAATAAATTAATCCACATTCAGAAAAATTCACCAAAAAATCCCACCAACTCCATTTCACATTTCCTTTATCTTTTAAGCATGCAAAATATAATTTTGAAATATAAAAAATTGAAATAATTTCTCAAATCCAAGCTTGTTTCTATACCAACAATAATACTCTGGTGAACATCCCCTACAATAACTCTTGCTCCAATTATTATTCCAAATTTTCTAAAGTCAAAATTTTGTTTTCACACAACATAGTTAAAGATAATGTCGCAATGAGGTTTTATAATTTTTTGTGCATTTTTCTGATGGCACATGGTGCTATACGATACTGACATCTGTCGGACACTCTGATGACGCACCAATCTGGTGTTGCCATGTGTCATTCTCTTCCATTTATTAGTACTTTCCAATGCTTGAAATTCCAAAAATCATAATAAATTCATACAAAATCTGAAAATTTCACCAAAAAACCCCACAAACTGCTTATTGCATTTCCTTCATCTTTTAAGCTTTAAAAAAATTATTTTGACATATACAAAATTCAAATAATTTCTCAAAGTCAAGTTTGTTTCTATACTAACAATAGTAATAATTACTCTCCCTTACAATAACTCTTCCTCCCATTATTACTTCAAATTTTCCAAAGTCAATTTTATTTTCACACATCATAAACGAAGATAATGTCACAAGGAGTTTTTAGAAATTTTTGGTACATTTTTTGTGAATTTTTTAAGGTGAGACACAAGAATAAAGCTACGATGACGCGTGGCGTTACGTGATATTGACACTTGTCGAAATCTCTAATGACACACCTAGGAAACGATGCCATGTGTCATTATATTTCATTTATTACTATTTTACAATTCTTTAATTTCCATAAATCATAAAATTTCACAAAAAGTCACAAAAAAATCATACGAACTCATTGTGACATTTAATTCATATTTTAAGCTTTAAATCAATTTTGATGTCAAAACAAATAAATAATTGAATAGATGCATGGCGGTGGTACGATGGTCAGGTACAAGGCATCCAAAGCTTTAAACAAGGGCCTGCACAAATTAAATGAACACAATAAAAATAAAATCAAGCTGCTAAAATTCCAATATTAAACCCAAAAAGAAACAAAACAGTCCCAATTTAACATTCAGGGGCATACTCAACAGAAAATGCAGCAGTACAAAAAATACGTTTAAGCAATTTCTTTATTTTATTTTTCTATATTTGATTACATTGTGATTTAGCATATTACTGGTATCAGTTTCCAAACACTGCAGACAAAGCAACATATGCACATCAATAACCCCTCAATAATTTGTCAATAACCAGTGAATAATTTGTCAATAGTCCACCAGTACTGTATCAGTCACCCATCAATAGTTTACCAACAACTCGTCAGTGCGTCAGTGACGGCTCCTTACCCACTTTCACTTTTGTATTGAAATAAAGCGCGTCAGTGAAAATAGAAATTTCAGCGTTTGACGACTTCTGCAGTTTATTTACTTCTATTCGGGTGGGGGGGGGGGGGGGGGGGGGGAAACGTTTGAAATTTCAGCGTTTGACGACTTCTGCAGTTTATTTACTTCTATTCATGTGGGGGGGGAAAGAAACGTTTGTATTCAGCTACAAAATTTATTTTGTACACTGCAGGAAGTTCTGTTTTTTTATTAATAGGAGTTCTGGGTATTGGTTTATACGGCTCCAATGAACCGACATTAAATTTTGAAACATTAGCTAATCAATCGTATCCTGTAGCACTGGAAATAATATTCTATATTGGATTTCTTATTGCTTTTGCTGTCAAATCACCGATCATAACTGGCCATGTGCTTCAGTAAGTTGTAACTTCAGTAAATTAAAAACCGCGTCAGTAAGAAAAGAAAATTCAACGTTTGATTACTTAAGGTGGTAGGAAACGAAAGCTCCTCCACTTAGAAGGTGGTAGGAAACTGCTTCGTCAAGCCCTCATAAATCTGACTAGAGAGCCACTGCCATACCCAACTCTTTGAGCTTCTCTTTAGTTTTAATTAACTGCCTCCTATGACCATTCAACCAGTCTTTCCTTCTTCTTCTTCTTCTCCATATGATGTCTTTCTGAGTTTTAGAGGCGAGGATACACGCACCAATTTTACAGATCATTTGCGCAATGCTCTGGTTGGTAAAGGGATCCACACCTTCATTGATGATGATGAGCTTCCAAGAGGAGAAGAAATAGCGCCAGCCCTTCTCAAAGCAATTGAAGACTCAAGAATTTCTCTCATTGTATTCTCTGAAAACTATGCATCTTCGAGGTGGTGTTTGGATGAACTTGTTGAGATCCTTCGATGTAAACAATCAAAGCAGCAAATAGTTTGGCCCATTTTTTACAAGGTGAATCCATCTCATGTGCGAAACCAAACAAATAAATTTGGTAATGCATTTAACGGCCTTACTGAAAGCAAATTCAAAGATAATGAGAAGAAGGTGCTCATATGGAGGGAAGCTCTTACAAAAGCAGCAAATTTGTCCGGACATCCTTTCAAGGATGGAGAGTATATTTCTATCTTTATCATTTTCAAGTTTAATTTTTTTCTCTCTTCTTTCTCTAGTTACACATTTAATTGTTACTCTTAAAGAAAGGTATCCTTTTAAAAAAATATAAAATTGTAAGGAGAAGGTTCAAAACCCCCTTTAGTTTCTTCAAAAGGCATACAAGTATAAATGATACATAACATTAGGTTTGTGCGTACTTCATTAAAAATGTGTCTAATTTGGTTAAATTGGCAGGCATGAAGCTACATTTATCAACAACATCGTTGATGGAATCTTAAGCCAAGGACTGAGCCGCACATATTTGAATGTGGCCAAGTACCCAGTTGGAATTCAATCTCATGTACAAGATGTGGAAAGGCTTTTAGATGTTGGTGGGAATGGTCGTCGCATGGTTGGGATATGGGGAGCATCTGGAATAGGCAAGACAACAATTGCAAAAGCTATATGGAATGAAATTGCCCATAAGTTTGAAGGAAGTTGTTTCTTGCCAAATGTTAGAGAAGGAAGTTTAATCCAGCTACAGGAGAATCTTCTTGATAAGATTCTAGGCAAAAAATTGAAAATTGGCAATGTTGATGAAGGATTTGGTGTTATAATGGAACGGTTGAGGCATAAAAAAATTCTATTAATTCTTGACGATGTAGATGAATTGGAGCAGTTAGACAACTTGGCTGGAGATGATTGGTTTGGTGAGGGTAGTAGAGTAATCATTACTACAAAAGATATGAGATTGCTAGACAATCGTGAAATTGAGTTGATATACGAGGTGAAGAAGTTATATTACAACCAACTTCTTGAGCTTTTCAGTTGGCATGCATTCGGAAGAACTGAACCTCCAAAAGATTATTTGGAACTCGCACAACGTGCAATAGCTTTTGCTGATGGCCTTCCACTAGCTCTAACAATTTTAGGTTCTCATCTTCGTAATAGAGGAATACGACGTTGGCAAGTTATATTAGATGGTTACAAAGGAGAGCCTTATACACATATTGAAAGAATACTTCAAAAAAGTTATGATGCCTTGGATGATGACGCGAAAGAAGTTTTTCTCGACATTGCATGTTTCTTCAAGGGTGCAAATAAGGACGTTGTGCTACAGATAGTCCCCCAAAATTGCATTGTACTCCTTGATAAGGCAATGATAACTATTGAATGGGATGATAGGATTTTAATGCACGACTTGCTAGCAAACTTGGGCAAGAATATAGTTCACAAAGAATCCCCCAATGATCCCGGCAAGCGTAGTAGATTGTGGTTTTACGAGGATGTCAAGCTAGTGCTAACGGAAAATACGGTAAGTATAATATGTTATTATATTCAATTTGACAAGATGTGCTTGCATTTTGGTTTGTAAAATGACTCCCTTTTTTTAATCTTAATGCTTTTCTATCTCAGGGAACAAGAAATATTAAAGGCATCATTGTGAAGCTTCCAGAATCAGCTGAGATAAACTTGAATCCAGAATGCTTCCGTAATATGGTAAATCTTGAAATTTTCATAAACCGCAATGCATCTCTATGTGGGCACATTAACTATCTGCCCAACGCGTTAAGATTGATTGATTGGGATAGATGTCAGTTACAATCTTTGCCACCCAATTTTCAAGGAAATCGTCTTGTTGAGTTCAATATGCCTTGCAGTCATATCAGACAATTGGAGGGATTTAAGGTATGTATTTGAAATTATTTTCATCTGTTATATATAATTTCAAATAGAGTTGTTAATTTCAGAAGGAAAAAAATGAAAATTGTTTTTTAAGTTTTTGTCTTTTGAAGCGTGTGATTAATTATTTCCTGTTTTTGTGTTCTTGTCTCACAGCATTTGTCAAAGTTGACATCTATGAATTTGAGGGGTTGTCAATTCTTAGAAAAAATCCCTGACGTATCCGGAATCCCAAATATAAAGTACTTGAATCTACGTGAGTGCACACTTTTGTTTGAGGTCGATGGTTCTGTTGGATTCCTTGATAAACTTGTTCAATTGGATCTTGGTGGATGCTTAAATCTTACAAGGTTTGCAACAAGACTTAGATTGAAATCTCTTGAAGAACTTGATCTTAGGGATTGCAAAATGCTTGTGAGTTTCCCAGAAATAGAAGTCCAGATGGAATCACTACGGCATTTGAACATATCAGGAAGTGGCGTAAGAGAATTGCCTTCATCAATTGCATATCTTACTGGGCTTCGAGAATTGTATCTTTCTGGATGCTTCAATCTTACAAGGTTTGCAACACTTGGATTGAAATCTTTTGAAGAACTTGATCTTAGTGATTGCGAAAGGCTTGAGAGTTTCCCAGAAATAGAAGTCGAGATGGAATCACTAGAGACTTTGGGCATATCAGGAAGTGGCGTAAGAGAATTGCCTTCATCAATTGCACATCTTACTGGTCTTGAAGTATTACAACCTGATTATTGTGAGAACCTTACAATTACGGTGAACTCTCAAGTGTCATCCAGCAACTCCGAATTACAGCTGCTTCCCAACCTAATTGATTTTAGACTCAGAGGATGCAATCTATAAAAAATTAATTTCCTCCTGCCCCTTGATTGCTGGTCCACATTAACAGTACTTAAACTATCGCGAAACAATTTTGTCAATCTTCCGATATGCTTTACCAAATTTGTCAACTTGCGGAATCTTGACTTGAGTGATTGCAAGAGTCTTCTGGAAATTCCAGAACAAGTACTTCCACCAAGAGTAACTTGGGTATTGCTGGATAACTGCACATCATTGGAAAAAATTCCAAAACTGGCTTGGGTATTGATGGATAACTGCACATCATTGGAGAAAATTCCAGAAATCTCACCGGGGAATGACGAAATGTATCTGGGTTTGACCAATTGCGTTAGACTACGCGGCTATGACATCACAGAAAATATTTTTCTGAATCAGGTTTCTGTTTCTTCTCCACATTCTCATTTCAACATTAGTCTTCCAGGCGATGAAGTTCCAAAGTGGTTCAGCTGTCGTAAAGATGCAACACTAGCTAAAGTTAAAAAGAAGGAAGAGGAGGAAGAGGAATATTACCATGCTGGATGTGAAGTTAGTTTTGAAATTCCTCCAAATTTAAAATTGGAGACGTTAAGATTGGTTCTATGTGTTGTTAGTATTGCTCATGCCAAGATTCTTCTCAATGGAAAACCCGTCAATGAGAGTGGTATTGGATTATATGAGAGACATATTGGATTACGGGAAAGTCATGTGTGCCTCGAGTCTATTCCATTATTGGATAGGCGAAACGCGTACGAGTTTGAAGAACCATCGACGAAGCAGGGTAATACGTGTCAAGTTATATTTGACTTGTCTGGCGAAGTGCCCACACCCGTTAAAATTCCCTGCGGGGTCCACCTATTAGGTCACCAAGTTGTTGATGTCAGTGAGACTGATGTTGTTGATCATGGGCCAACGCAGTTGTTGTTACCTGATGCGATGGCAGTGGACGATGATATTTACGATGATCAACACCAAGACTGCGAATTGCTTTCCTTGTCTTTAGGATCAAAGACTAGTCTTGGCAAGAGGCCTCGCCAATCATATTACATGGCACTTCATGATGATCATCGTGCTAACGTCGTCGACATTGGTGATCATGAAGCTCAATGGCTTTCCTTGTTAACGGGACCAGCGGATCACCAAAAGAGGAGGCACATTGATCCTAATGAGGAGCCAAAGTATGTAAATCCATTAAATTTTGAATGATATCTTTGCAATTTCTGATCATATATCTGCGTTTTGTGCTCAATTCAAATTTATCAATATTTTGCTGTGCATCTCTGGGGTATATGTTGTAGTTTTCAGGGTGTGAGTTTTTTTTCTTCTTTTTGTTTTGGGTTAAATCTTTTTTCTTAACGCTCTATATTCGATATTAAATTTTCAGGCAATGAAGATCCAAAGTGGTTTATGTGAGCCCCAGGTTCAGCCATTGAAAGGAACCCAATTTCCGGCAATGGTCTGGTAATCAAGTGGTGTGTTGAGGCGCCAACAATTTCTGAGATTCCATTTTAAGTTGCATAAGGCAATACCTTTCTTCTCAATTGATGCATCCAGCATTTATCCAGGGATGAACAACGCTGGATTTATGTAATGCTTTCATTCCACACATATTTTGTCTATGATTCTTCTATCTCATTCACTGGCATCCAAATATGTCCAACATATTTCTGTTGAAAGATTACGTCTTCATTATACTAGTGATGTTGCTGGTATTGGCAAGGTACAAGAATCCCAGCATGTCTAAATCATGTGAAGTTGCTCCAACTCAACTGCAGCATTTTTGATAATCCTGCAAAAGACACGAAATGGGATTTGGAACAATTGAAACTGCAAAATGAAAATTTTGATGGGCAGCGATAGTATCATCCATATTTTGTAGTTTTCGAACTCTTGTCTAGATTGCGAATGGATTTTGGTTCTTTGAATACCAGTTGCTGTTTGAACAGCCCTGGTAGAGCTAACATCTCCAATGATTCCATTTACCCAAAAAGAATTTGGCTTTAGAAACTATGAAAAAGACACCAGGAATTACAACTTTATTCTTTGTTCACGAAAGCGCATTATTATTGTCATTGCATGACCGGATAGCTACTATAGATGTCGACTGTTCAATTTTATCCACCAAAAATTACAAGGGGCTTCTCATAGTAAAAAAGATAACTAGAACTTACAATGGGAACTGACACCAAATAAAACTTATGACAGGAATAAATGTCCCTACAACCAAAACAAAAATTCACTTCATACAGAATTATTATAACAAGGGAGCAGTACGCAGCAGTGTAAATGCAGACACATATGCACAGCATCCATGGAGCGCTCCAAACTGCCCACATTGCCGCAAAGAAAAAGCTCCCCATTGAATTGGCTCAAAACAACATATTCAAGCATCACTAACTTGGTTATATTCCTACATAAGCCACACTCTGCAACAAATACATGCCTATACCTCATTTTTCCGCAGGAAACTAAAAGAAAATAAAACCACCCGTAGAAAAACAACTGATTCAATTATGCAAAAATTAGGTTATACTGAACAAACATGGAGTGATTTTTTATCACCCTAGACCAAAGTGATGGTAAAACAGTAACTTCCATGACTTTACCAACTAGTACAGCAAACTTCCATGTTCATTATATGCAAAATGTTGAACTCAATGGCAAAAAGAACGAAAACCCTTAGCAATTTTTGCAAACCCAAAATGTTTTTCATCACAAAAAACGGACATAGAGTAATATGCTTCAATTCCCAATGAGGTAAACTAAATCTCAAGGAAAAATCCACCTTTGAGGTCTCAAACGTTATATGCATCAAATGGTTTCAGATTAACTTACATAATTTTATAACTAACTAGAACACGTGGCACCTGTAAGTTATGTGTCAAATTCTTTGACGTGAAAACTCAATCCTCCTAACATGATGCGTCCATGATTTTCCCATCAATTGTTGATGGTCTAAGTTAATGGATGAGACTATTTGAGGAGTCTAAATATTTAAGGGACACATTGACCAAAAGTTCAACAGTAACCATTGAAATCACACAAAATTTAGGGAGCCATGCTATAACATTTCTTTACCGTATAGTAACTAAAGTAGCACCTTTTTAGTGACATTGAATGAACCATTTATAAACATAAGGTGCAAAATTACTGCAGATGATCTCAACTGACTATCTGCAGAATCATCATCCTCTCCAAATCCCTCAGCAATCAACTTCATCAAGTTATGTGCCACCTTGACATTTACCAAATCTCTCGCATGTTCAAACACTTTATTCAATGTCAGGCATGGATGACATCGACTGTTTAATAAGCAATATCAAAATATTCCATCTATATGTATTACTCTTACCTGGATAAACCATTGATTACTTGGTGCAAATTGCTCTACATTCTCCACACTTCGAGAAGCTATATATGTTTTGTAATTGTTATCATTAATGCTAATCAATATCAATCATACGATCCACAATCACTTCCACATTGGAGGACTTGGTCATCTCGTACAATCGTTAAAATGTTTTTCGCTTCAGAATATCATCTGGGTCCTGCATCATGCACATCAAACTTCATCTAAATTAAAAGTTTAAAGCATGATTTGAAACCAATCCATCAAACCCAACAGAATTCTCTCACCTCTAAGCAATCAGTGCCCATATATTTATTGCTCTGCTATCTCTAGACTAATCTTTATTAGTCGACCAAGGGCATCGATGCCCATATATTTCAAATTATGCCTGTCACTCTTTCCACCAAATATACAACACGGAATTGGTGTTTAACTCTCCAAATAATCTACATGCAGACTGTGGGAACCAATTAAATCAAAACCCTAGGTCAAATAATTCCTTCCATTTGGGGATTATTTGACCTAATTGGGAATTACTCAACCTAATTGGGAGTTACTCAATTTAATTGGGAGTTACCCAATTAAATTGAGAATTACCTAATTAAGTTGGGAATTGATTTGATTCCTACCCCAATTCCCAATTAAATGAGGAGTTACCTAATTAAATTAGGATTTGATCTGATACCTACCACAATTAGGGATTTGATTTACCCTAATAAATCAAATCCCTAATTAATCAAATCAATTCCAAATAGGGGAGGAATAATTCCCTTCCATCTATGGAATTATTCCTCTGAAACCCTAGCATCCGAGACCACTATAAAATGATGGCCACACACAAAGGTCAAGGTACGTCTAAATTCCTACTGAAACTCTGCAGAAATTATTTCTTACAAACCATAGCCACCACTTTCTTTCTCTCTCTTACACAAGGCTCCGGCCACCCGGTTTTCCTTGAAATACCCTACCTAACTTAGGCATCGGAGGGCCTTTGGCCAACACCCCCCGGGTGTGGTCCTTTTACCCCGATCTGTTTTGCAGGGAGAAAGAGAAGTGGAGAAGACGAACGAATCTTAAGCGAATATTCTAGTAGGACGAAATTTGTACAAACAAATTGGTGCTTTCATTGAGAGCACGAGATATATTCAAAGCGTGCTCAAAATCCATCTTTCACACATTTTTTTCAAACAACCATGGTTGACACAAGACGTACGAAGAGTAACGCCACCACGACGGGCCCATCTCATGGTTTTGTGGTGGAAACCTCAATGCAACAGCACGGAATCATGCCTGCCAACGCCCTGCAGCCGTCTTCTAGTGCTTTGCAGCCGCCTTCAGCTGCTGGAATTGCAGAACAGCCGCCATATGACCCTGGGACCTCCATAGCCTTGCAGTCGCCAGCGCCGATTACCGGAGCTGCTCTGCCTCACTGTCCTGCCGTCGGAGCACAGCAACAGCCACACCACTTAACTAATGGACTTGCTGCACAGCCCCATGGCTACTCTGACATCGTCCCAGTCTTGGAGCAGATCCATTCTCTCCCTCCTCTGCGATCACACTTGACATATGCACCTGTGTACGCGTCTAATGGAGCCCTAGCCCATATGCCGTTGGGCCCAATGCACACCACTCTACTTGACCCGGGCAGTCAGGTGGACCTTAACTCGCGGGTTGATCAACTCACACAGAAGGTCGATGATCAAAACAACCTGATTGGCCAGCTACTCAGGCAGATCAACTTAAATCAAGGCCCCAACCTTGGACCCCGTGACGAGGAGAGGAGGGCACACGAGCATGCTGGCGAGCAGTTCGAGAGGTCCCAGGCTAGTCAGACAAGGGCAAACCGGCAGGGAAGAGAGCGAGATCGTGCAGACGAGACACAGACAGCTGCGAGCCGTACTCTGAGCCGTTCGAGGCTAGGACCCAGGACCAATGTGCTCGAGAGGCTAGGCCCACAATCCAATGTTCGTGCTCGCTTAGGTCCACAAGGAGCTCGAGTTCGTGAGTGGTCGCGGCGACAAGCTGTGGAGGGATCCTCCCAAACTCAACCTTCTCTCCTGCCCCATCGGCAGGGCAACCAAGGGGATCGACCCTTGGGAGCAGGAGAAGAAGTTAGCCAATCACGTTCGAGGCACCGAAGACATCGACCTGAACGACCTTCCTTGCAAGTAGAGGATGACGATCAACGCTCACCAGCCCGCTCGAGGTCCGACATGCGGCGACAAGCTGTGGAGGGATCCTCCCAAACTCAACCTTCTCTCCTGCCCCACCGACAGGGCAACCAAGGGGATCGACCCTTGGGAGTTGGAGAAGAAGTTAGCCAGTCACGCTCGAGACGCCGAAGACGCGACCTGAACGACCTTCCTTGCGAGCAGAGGGTGACGATCGACGCCCACCAGCCCGCTCGAGGACCAACACGCGGCGACAAGCTGCAGAGGAATCCTCACAAACTCAATCTCCTAATCTGCCTCACGGGCAGAGCACCCAAGGGGATCGACCCTTGGGAACCGAGGAAGAAGTTAGCCAGTCGCGCTCGAGGCACCGAAGACGTCGGCCCGAGACTCCAACCCTGCGAGCAGAGGATGTCGCAAAGCTAGTAAATGACCAACTCCGAGGTCTCCGACTCAAAGAAAGCTCGGAGGAGGCCCTGTGCAAGGAAATTGATCGAGTTGATTGCTCGCCCTTTACCGACGAGGTGGAACGAGCTCCGCCGCCGAAGCGGTTTACAACGCCATCCATCACTCCATTCAAGGGGGACTCCGACCCTGAGAGCCATTTGAGGCACTTCAAGAGCGCCATGATCCTGTACAAGGCAGACGACGCCCTGATGTGCAAAGTGTTCGCGATGACTCTGCGAGGAGCAGCTCAGGATTGGTTCCACACTCTACCGTCCGCGTCAATAGGCAACTTCAAGGAGTTCGCCATCATTTTCACAAAGGAGTACACCTCCTACAAGAATGTCAGAAAGCATGCAGACCACCTGTTCAACTTGCGCAAGAAGCCAGACGAGTCTCTACGAGACTACCTGAGACGGTTTAAGGCTGAGAAGGCTAACATCATAGGATGCAACGACCAAGTTGCATCCTCAGCATTCAAAAAGGGCTTGCCAACCGAGCACGAGCTATACCAGGAGCTGGCCATAACTCCAAGTCAAACCTTGGCAGAAGTGTTCGCGACGGCAGAGCGCTACGCACTTTGGGACGATGATCGTATCGCCGCAAAGAAAGCTAGCAAGCAAGTTGACCACCCGACGAAGCAGGCAAGCCAAAAGAGCAACAAGTTCGAGCAAAAAGCCCGAGATAAGCGCAGATCGCGGCCCCAAGAGGGAAGCTTAGAAACAGGGACCTTCACTGAGTTCGCTATCCCAATCCACCAGATCCTAGCTCAAGTGAAAGATAAGCCGTGGGTGAGGAGACCACCACCCATGAAGGGAGACCCCTCTAAAAGAGACACCAGCAAATACTGCGCATTCCACGGGGAGCACGGTCATTACACCAACAACTGCAACGCTTGGAAAAGGCACCTTGAGGAGCTGGTCAGAGAGGGCCATTGCACAGAGTTCATTGCAAAGAAGGCTATCCAGCAGATCGAGGATCGTGATGCAGCTGCCAAGGAACCTCCCCAAAAGGTCATTCAAATCAACACCATTCTAGCCGACTCCCAAGAATCCGGGCTGACCACCAAGGAGCGCAAGAGAAAGATCGCTCAGGCAACTTATGTCTCCCAAGTCACAACGGGAGTACCAGCCATTGGGGATACACCTATCATCGGCTTCCAGAAGAAGGACTTGATCGGGCTTGACCTGCCACATAATGACGCCCTAGTCATCTGCATCCAAATTGAACAAGCTGTGATCGAGCGAGTTCATGTAGATGAGGGCAGCGCAGCCAACATCCTGCAACTATCTGTTATCCAACAGATGGGGTTCGAGCCCAAGATTAGCAAACTTGCCAGATCGCTCACCGGCTTCAATGGGGCCACATCAATCACTGTTGGAACGATCGACTTGGATGTCCACTCACCCCCAGTGGTCTGCTCGCAGACCTTCATGGTCATCGACGAGGTTTCCCCCTACAACGGAATCTTGGGCCGACCGTGGATCAGTAAGATCGAGGCCATCACATCTGCTCTACATCAGAAGATCCGCTATCCCATCCCTGGGGGCGGGATCGGGCAGATCAACAGTGACCAAGCCATGGCAAGGAGATGCACCGCCCAAGGGCTCAAGAAGAGCAAGCAGCTGCAGTTTACACCAGTAATGCAAGCTGCCAACGAGGCAGGAAGCGCTCTTAGCAGACAAGCAAACCCGAAAGGGAAGGAAGTTGCTGCCTCACAATAGCAGTTAAAGAACCAGGATCAAGGTGAGGGAATCCGCCCGGAAGACTCCCTTGAAAAGGGTTGGAAGCCTGAGGATGACGTTGAGTTAGTACCTCCTGATCCTGGCCAGCCAGACAAAGAGGCGCAGATCGGCTCGTGCCAGAATCCAAACAAGAAGGATCGAGACGAGGGAATCCGCCCGGAAGGCTCCCTTGAAGAAGGTTGGAAGCCTGAGGAAGACGTTGAGTTAGTACCCCCCGATCCTGATCAGCCAGAGAAGGAGGCGCAGATCGGCTCGCGCCAGAATTCAACCAAGAAGGATCGAGATGAGGGAATCCGCCCGGAAGGCTCCCTTGAAGAAGGTTGGAAGCCTGAGGAAGACGTTGAGTTAGTACCCCTCGATCCTCACCAGCCAGACAAGAAAGCGTGGATCGGCTCGCGCCTAAGCCCAGACGGGAAGATGGAGCTGACCATCTTCCTCCAGAACAACAAAGACATGTTCGCGTGGTCACCATCTGACATGCCTGGCATTGACCCAAACATCATCTGCCATCGGCTCCATGTCAACCCAGCTAGCAAGCCCGTGGTGCAGAAGAGACGCAACTTTGCTCCCGAGCGGGTCGCGATCATTGAAGCCGAGATCGACAAGCTCCTAGCTGCCGGTTTCATTGAAGAGGTCTCCTACTCGGAATGGCTGGCTAACGTTGTTCTGGTGGCGAAACAAGAAAAGGGAAAATGGAGAGTATGCGTTGATTACACCGACCTCAACAAAGCGTGCCCTAAAGACAACTTCCCACTGCCGAGAATCGACCAGCTCGTGGATTCAACTTCCGGCAACCAGCTGCTCAGCTTCATGGATGCTTACTCCGGCTATAATCAAATTATGATGTACGATGATGACAAGGCGAAGACCTCTTTCATCATCGAAAGAGGGACCTACTGCTACAAGGTCATGCCCTTTGGGCTGAAGAACGCCGAAGCAACCTACCAAAGGCTCGTGAATAAAATTTTCAAGGAGCAGATCGGCAGAACCATGGAGGTGTACGTGGACGATATGCTGGTTAAAGCCCCCAAGCGGGCAGACCACCTCAAAAACCTCACCGAGGCGTTCAGCCTACTCCGCCAATATCGCATGAAGCTGAATCCAAGTAAATGCACGTTCGGTGTATCGTCTGGCCGGTTCCTAGGGTACTTAGTGACGCAACGAGGTATCGAGGCACACCCGCGCCAAATCAAAGCCATTCTCGAGATGAAGTCGCCTTCCACAGTGAAGGAGATACAAAGCCTGACGGGCAGAGCAGCGGCCCTTAACAGATTCCTCTCAAAGTCTACCGACAAGTGCAGACCATTCTTCAAAGCTTTGAAGAAAGGACAAAAAGACAAATGGGACGAAGAGTGCGAAGTAGCTTTCCAGAATCTAAAGACCTACCTTACTTCACCTCCTTGCTCTCAAAGCCAGTTCCTGGTGAAGACTTGTTCGTGTACCTGGCAGTGTCCAACTCGGCCGTCAGCTCAGCTCTCATCCGAGAAGAACTTGGGGCCCAACATCCGATATTCTACACGTCAAAAGCTCTCCTCGATGCAGAGACTCGCTACCCGAAATTGGAGAAGCTCATTTTGGCCCTTGTGGTTTCTGCGAGAAAGCTGCGACCTTATTACCAAGCTCACCGAGTCATCGTCATGACCGACTTTCCTTTGAGATCAATCCTCCACAGCCCTGATGCTTCTCAGCGACTCATGAAGTGGGCTATAGAGCTAAGCCAATACGACTCCTCTACCGGCCGAAGACTGCAATAAAAGCTCAAGCCTTAGCAGACTTTGTTGCAGAATTCACACCATCAGCCGAAGAAGAGAAGCTGGTCAGCAAAAAGAAGGAAAGTTCGAGAGCAGACAAGACCTCTATTGAACCTGACCAACCCAGAGACATGTGGCAGTTGCGCGTAGACGGAGCGTCGAACCAGAAAGGAGCTGGAGCAGGCGTCATCATCATCACCCCGGATGGAACCCTGCTAGAGCAAGCTATCACGCTTGGCTTCCCGGCTTCAAACAACGAGGCAGAGTACGAGGCATTGCTCGCTGGCTTGTGCTTGGCAAAGGAGTTATCAATCAAAAAATTGGCCATCTACTCAGATTCCCAGCTAATCACAAGTCAAGCCTTAGGAGAGTACATGGTGAAGCACTCGAGGATGATCCTGTACCTTGACAAAGTCCAAGAGTTGTTGAAGGCGTTTCCCACCTTCACCATCCAGCAAGTGCCCCGAGCAGAGAACGCGCACGCAGATGCACTGGCAAGCTTAGGATCGGCGCTGGATACCCAGTTCAGACGCTCCATCCCGGTCGAGCACCTCGACCAGCCTAGCATAGAAGAGGCAGAGCAGCCGGACCTGATGCAGATCGATGAGGATCCTAGCTGGCAAGACCCCATCATTTGACTATCTAGTGAATGAAAACCTGCCCGAGGACAAGTCCGAGGCCAGAAAAATCAAGCAGAAGGCTGCAAGATACTATATGAAAGGCGACATGCTTATCCGCAGATCATACTACGGGCCTCATCTCACTTGCATCAAGTACCCACAAACGCTCGAGGTTCTCTGCAAGATACACGACGGCGAATGTGGAAATCACGCTGGGGGTAGATCGCTTGCTCAGAAGGCTCTCAGCATAGGCTATTTCTGGCCTACCATGCGCCAAGACTCCACGGAGTATGCTCGAAGATGTGATCGATGCCAACGCTACAAGCCGGTCCCTGGCCTGCCCGCTGAGGAATACCATTCGCAGAACAGTCCATGGCCATTCATGCAGTGGGCCATTGACTTGGTGGGACCTATGCCGACGGCACCTGCCAACAAAGAGATGATGATCGTTGCCACTAATTACTTCACCAAATGGATCGAGGCCGAGGCTTTATCTTCTACCAAGGAGGCCGATGTTGAACGGTTCATCTGGAAGAACATTATTTGCAGATTCGGTTGCCCGCAATCGATAGTCACCGACAATGGTACACAGTTCGTGGGCAGGCAGATCATCGCATTCTTTGCGAAGTATGGCATCAAACAACACCTGTCAACACCCCGATACCCGCAAGGCAATGGCCAAGCAGAGGCATCCAACAAGATAGTGCTGGACTGCCTAAAGAAAAGACTGGAAGGCGCAGAAGGAAAATGGGTCGACGAGCTGCCAGGAGTCCTATGGGCTTATCGCACGACCAAAAGGAGATCGACCGGAGAGACACCATTTTCCCTGGCCTATGGGACAGAAGCAATTATTCCCCCACACATCACAGTCCCTTCCATGAGCATTGAGGTGGGCAGTCTTGACCAAAATTGCAAGCAGATGAAAGTCAACCTTGATCTGCTTGAAGAAGAACGAGAAAAGGCTATTGTTCGAGTTGCCGCCTACCAGCAGCAGTTGACCTCCTACTACAATAAGAAGGCTAAGATAAGACAGTTTCAGCCTGGAGACCTTGTGCTTAGAAAAACTTTCATCACAGCACCAAGGCAAGCGTATGTCAGGGAAAATGGTGTCAAACTGGGAAGGCCCCTACGTGATCAACCGATCTGGGGGGCAGAGGAAGTTACACCCTTGATACTCTAGAAGGAAAAGAAATTCCAAGACAATGGAATGCCCACCACCTTCGAAGATACTATCCATGAAACTCTTCGCTTACCAACTTGGCTGCTAGCAGGCGACGAGCCTCCTGTACTTCCATTAAAGAGAAACTACTTTTGATGTTACCTTTGTTGTTAATTTCCTTTATTCAATAAAGCGATGTATTCACAACAACATCAATACAAGAGCAAGCTTTTCAATGAAGTACTTTTCTGAGCATTATGTCTTACGAACATACACATGGCGGCAGCAAGCCTAATCTCCATTGCAGACAGGCTGCTTCACGAAGCACAAACTCAATGGAGTCTTTTTCGAGCATTGTGTCCCTGACATACGCTCGCAGGCGACAAGCCTCATCTCCATTGCAGACAGGCTGCTTCACGAAGCACAAACTCAATGGAGTCTTTTTCGAGCATTGTGTCCCTGACATACGCTCGCAGGCGACAAGCCTAATCTCCATTGCAGACAGGCTGCTTCACGAAGCACAAACTCAATGGAGTCTTTTTCGAGCATTGTGTCCCTGACATACGCTCGCAGGCGACAAGCCTAATCTCCATTGCAGACAAGCTGCTTCACGAAGCACGAACTCAATGGAGTCTTTTTCGAGCATTGTGTCCCTGACATACGCTCGCAGGCGACAAGCCTCATCTCCATTGCAGACAGGCTGCTTCATGAAGCACAAACTCAATGGAGTCTTTCTCGAGCATTGTGTCCCTGACATACGCTCGCAAGCGACAAGCCTCATCTCCATTGCAGACAAGCTGCTCCACGAAGCACGAACTCAATGGAGTATTTTTCGAGCATTGTGTCCCTGACATACGCTCGCAGGCGACAAGCCTCATCTTCATTGCAGACAAGCTGCTCCACGAAGCACGAACTCAATGGAGTCTTTTTCGAGCATTGTGTCCCTGACATACGCTCGCAGGCGACAAGCCTCATCTCCATTGCAGACAAGCTGCTCCACGAAGCACGAACTCAATGGAGTCTTTTTCGAGCATTGTGTCCTTGACATACGCTCACAGGCGACAAGCCTCATCTCCATTGCAGACAGGCTGTTTCACGAAGCACAAACTCAATGGAGTCTTTTTCGAGCATTGTGTCCTTGACATATGCTCGTAGGCGACAAGCCTCATCTCCATTGCAGACAGGCTGCTTCACGAAGCACAAACTCAATGGAGTCTTTTTCGAGCATTATGTCCCTGACATACGCTCACAGGCAACAAGCCTCATCTCCATTGCAGACAAGTTGCTCCTCGAAGGAGAAACTCAATGGAGTTTTTTTCGAGTATTATGTCCCCGACATATGCTCTCAGGCGACAAGCCTCATCTCCATTGTAGACAGGTTGCTCCACGAAGCACAAACTCAATGGAGTCTTTTTCGAGCATTGTGTCCTTGACATACGCTCGCAGGCGACAAGCCTCATCTCCATTGCAGATAGGCTGCTTCACGAAGCACAAACTCAATGAAGTCTTTTTCGAGCATTGTGTCCCTGACATACGCTCGCAGGTGACAAGCCTCATCTCCATTGCAGACAGGCTGCTTCACGAAGCACAAACTCAATGGAGTCTTTTTTTTTCGAGCATTGTGTCCCTGACATACGCTCGTAGGCGACAAGACTCATCTCCATTGCAGACAAGCTGTTTCGCGAAGCACAAACTCAATGGAATCTTTTTATTTCGAGCATTGTGTCCCTGACATACGCTCGTAGACGACAAGCCTTACCTCCATTGTGGGCAAGCTACTTCACGAGTACAAACTCAATGGAATCTCTTTCAAGTGATATGTCTCCGGACGTACACTTACAAGATACAATGAGAATTGAAGTTTGAAAGACAACTGAAAATTCCATAACAAAGCAGCCAACCAGCACCATCTACTCAACGGCCTCACCTACCTACTCCTTCGCATATGGTTTAGCCTTATCAGCTACGCCACCTTGAGAGTTGTCTTCCTCCATTGCAGCTTCATCTGCTATCTGCTCTTCAACTGCTTCTGCATCCACAACATTGCTCTGCTCACTTTGAGCAAGGGCAAGTCAAGATAAAGCTGCTTACCGTCTTCATGTTCGAGAGGGCAACAAGGAGAAGTACTATTCCTGCAATCCAAGTATCCCACCTTGTACGCATTAGCAACGATCTCATGCTTGGATGCCTCCGTGGCTTCAACATGAGTGTCGAACTTGACCAGCGGAGCTATCACCAACTTCTGGATCGGCAGTTCGCGCAACTTAAGGACTCTTTGCTCGAGCAGACGACTCTTTAGCTCTTTTGGCCGAAACTCGCAACATTAAGTCAGCTCCGTGCTTGACTATTCGTGGCTTTCCAGACGAGTCGTGATTGCTAGAAAGATGTACAGTCCTCTCAGTTTGATCCCAAGATCGGCACAAGCAACTCAAACCCTGCTTCTCAACAGCCTCCTTACAGGGTAGATCATGGGTTTTAGGCAGTTCGAGCGGATACCTGAGCAGAATGTCCCAGACCTCCTGCATGCCATTGATCTTCTTACTGTTCGTGCTGACGAGGCGCTTGATCCTGGCAGATGAAGAAGCAACTCCCATAGGGACATTCCCAGCAAACGAGACCCCATTACGGAAGACTTGCTCGTGGAAGAATGAGGAAGCTTGGTCGAGGACTTCTCCCGCTCAACTGGCAGATCATCTAGGTCCGAGCCATGCAGCTCCCATCTTTCAACATCTTCGGCTGGGGGCAGACCATCAGCCTCCTTCTGATGTTCACTCAGCAACCAGCGCAATCCACAAAACCTGGCAAGGATGTTTAAAGCTTGATGAACATTGATCGTGTTCGGGCCTAGATTGAGCTTCTTGTGGATGTCATTTTCTACAAGCAGAAGACAGAAGTCAGTCAGACACACAGTAAAGAATTCCATGGCTACTGTAGCAGATCAAAGGGATGCAACTTACCATCACAGTAGGTGAGAGGAACGAGCGGACCGTCACCAACCTCCCCTACCCATCTACCGCTGACTTCCAACATGTCCGTGCTCCACACATGATCGCCTTCACTCATAGAGTTCCTAGTTCGTGACACAAAAAGAAGGAATTGAAGCAGTTTGGATCAACCACAAATAAGCCGACCCAAACTGCCACCTGCTCCAGCAGCAGGCCAGCTCGCCTCCAACCCAGTTACAGCTGGACATCCCAAGTTAAAAGACCAAAGTGGCAAGTCAAAGACCTCCTCCACGCAGGAGCCCAAATCAAAGAAGGAAGCCCAGTTACAGCTGGACAGCCCAACAGATAATTCACATCTCCTACATGCCGCCACACGCCATGCAGAAGCTGGGGGGCATTTGTGGGAACCAATTAAATCAAAACCCTAGGTCAAATAATTCCTTCCATTTGGGGATTATTTGACCTAATTGGGAATTACTCAACCTAATTGGGAGTTACTCAATTTAATTGGGAGTTACCCAATTAAATTGAGAATTACCTAATTAAGTTGGGAATTGATTTGATTCCTACCCCAATTCCCAATTAAATGAGGAGTTACCTAATTAAATTAGGTTTTGATCTGATACCTACCACAATTAGGGATTTGATTTACCCTAATAAATCAAATCCCTAATTAATCAAATCAATTCCAAATAGGGGAGGAATAATTCCCTTCCATCTATGGAATTATTCCTCTGAAACCCTAGCATCCGAGACCACTATAAAAGGATGGCCACACACAAAGGTCAAGGTACGTCTAAATTCCTACTGAAACTCTGCAGAAATTATTTCTTACAAACCATAGCCACCACTTTCTTTCTCTCTCTTACACAAGGCTCCGGCCACCCGGTTTTCCTTGAAATACCCTACCTAACTTAGGCATCGGAGGGCCTTTGGCCAACACCCCCCGGGTGTGGTCCCTTTACCCCGATCTGTTTTGCAGGGAGAAAGAGAAGTGGAGAAGACGAACGAATCTTAAGCGAATATTCTAGTAGGACGAAATTTGTACAAACACAGACTATTTGCAGAAAATTACACTGAAAAATACAAAAACTTCAAACCTTTAAAAATCTTGAGATGACTTGAGCAGCCTGTTCTAACAACTTAGGATTTGGATATATGGCAGAAACGCAACAAATAGACTCATAAAGTAAAACATTTCCCATATTACTGGTAGAATCGCACTTCCTAAAAATATCGCTGACTACCATATACATCTTCTCACGCGATTGCTTATCACAACTCACCAATAATGCCAAGATCTTCAACAATCTAATCTGCATTATCAAACTAATTCCGTTACTACATTACGTTACAACAAACAACAAACAAAGCTCATTATTTCAATTCCTCTATCATGCCAAAAACTTCCCACATGAATAAGCTCAACTTCATTGAAAGTAAGTAAAACCTAAACAGATGGCGCTGGCAACTGATGGTAATCGTAGGTCTTGGGCAACTTGAGCTCGTCGACCTATTTGAGAATGCTGACAAAGCTGACCACCATATCCTTATAAGAATTCACCTCGATGGTAATGCGATCGAACAAAGGGCAACCGTGGCACCCATAACTGTTAGAATATCAAGACCATTATCTTTATTTTGACTCTTAGATGAGAAAATGAGAGCTATCAGAGAGCAAGAGAGAAAACTTAGGGAAGAAGAAGAGCTAGCTGGATACTAACTCAGCTCCAAACAATTCATACGTATATTGCCTTCTGACAAAACCGTTAGGAATAGCATATTCCTCTTACATCGTTCAAATCTTAGCCATTCATTCACTACCCTATGAGATAGAGACACGTGGCATACACTATTACATCCTAGTTGCACAGTTGGACTGTTATCCAACGGCTACATTTTCAAACTTAGAATAATAAATCTATCTCAGCAACTGCACTTATAAACTAACACTCCCTTCTAAGTGTTGTGCTGAGATAACACCTAAAGCCTTTCTTAGATACTCATACCCATCCCTTGCTAGCTGTTCTTCAGTTTTGCAATAAAGCAAATCGATCTCACCATTTTGAAGAGCATCTCGAATGAAGTGAAACCTGCGATTGATGTGTCTGGTTTTGTGGTGATAAACCGGATTCTTTGATATAGCAATAGCCGAAGTGTTGTCACACAACAACTGAGTTGGTTCTACCTGTTCTTCACCAAAATCCGATAGCACAAATCTGAGCCAAACAGCTTGAGTAGTTGCTTCTGCTTTTCTCATGTATTCTGCCTCTGCAGTGGAGAGAGCCACACTGCTCTGCTTAATTGAGGCCCAAGAAAACACTCCTGACCCCAAGTTAAATGCATAGCCTGATGTGCTTCGCATATCATCTTCGCTACCACTCCAATCGCTGTCACAATAGCCAATTAACGCAGCTCCTTTTCCTTTCTCATAAGCAATGCCATAGCTTATAGTACCTTGTATATATCTTAGCACCCTTTTTGATGTTCCCATGTGCTTCTTGGTAGGATTGTGCACGAATCTGGCCAAAAGACTAGCTGTAAACATAATGTCCGGTCTTGTTGTAGTTAGATAGAGCAAGCTTCCTACCATTTGTCTATACAAAGTCTCATATGCTAAATCACTCCCATCCACTTTAGACAACTTTTCATTCACTGCCAATGGTGTTGCAACCGATTTGCAGTCCTTGAGTCCAAACTTGTCCAGCAAAGTCTTTGCATATTTCTTATGATGCAAGAAAATGCAAGTGTCAGTTTGTAAAACCCCAAGGCCGAGAAAGTGATGAAGCAATCCAAGATCTGTCATCTCATATTGTCTCATCATCTCATTCTTAAATTCAAGCATCATCTCCTTTGAGCTCCCTGTATAGATAATATCATCTACATAGAGTGACACAATAAGAATACCACTTGTAGACCTCTTAGTGTATAAAGTAGCTTCACTCAAGCTCCTATGAAAACCAGCTCTAGTAAAATAGGAATTTATCTCTTCGTACCAAGCTCTTGGAGCTTGCTTCAAACCATACAAAGCCTTCTTAAGCCTATACACCTTATCTTCACTTCCTTGTATCACAAAGACGGATGGTTGATCCACATACACCTTTTCACTTAGTACTCCATTGAGAAAAGCGGATTTCACATCTAATTGGAAAAGCTTCCAATTCTTCTGTGCAGCCAATGCTACCAAAGCTCTCACAGTGTCAAGTTGAGCCACTGGTGCAAAGGTCTCATTGAAGTCTATTCCAGGCTTATGAGAGTAACCCTTTGCAACCAGCCGAGCCTTATTCTTCTGCACAGATCCATCTAGGTTCAGTTTTGTTTTATAGACCCATTTGACTCCAATGATTGGTTTATCAAATGGTCTATCCACAAGTTCCCATGTATTGTTCTTTTCAATCATAGTGATTTCATCTTCCATTGCTTTCTTCCATGAGTCATCCGTTGCTGCCTCTTCAAAACTTTCTGGTTCTATAATGCACATATTGCATTTTTCATAAATTTCTGCAATGCTCTTGTATTTGAGAGGAGTATGATCAACATCCTGCGGACCTGTGACCCTTTCTTGATCACTGTTTTCAGTGTTTAAGCTAGGCGCTTCATTCACTTCTAATTGTTCTTCAAATTCACAAGAACTCCCTTCTTCTCCTTGTTCTTCTTCTCGGATTCTAGTGAGCTGAATGTTCACACCAGTTTCCTTCTTTGCATTCCAATCCCAACACAAGTTCTCACTAAATATGACATCTCTTGACACAATCATCTTCCCAGTTTCAATATTATACAGCCTGTATCCTTTCTCACAGCTGCCATACCCCAGGAAGATACACCTCTTGCTTGCAAGATCTAATTTCTGTCTTTGTTGTTTTGGTACATGAGCATAACACAATGAGCCAAATACCTTTAGATGCTTAACCCCTGGTTTCCTTCCACTATAGGCTTCGAATGGTGTCTTTTTGCTCAAGGCTTTAGTTGGACACCTATTCAAAATATACACAGATATGTTGACTGCCTCAGCCCAAAAATCAAATGGAATTTTCTTCTCCAACATCAAACACTTGGCCATTTCTACTATAGTTCTATTTTTTCTCTCCGCCACACCATTTTGCTGTGGTGTGTATGGGGTTGTAAGCTGTCTTTCAATTCCTACATCTTCACAGAAACTGTCAAACTCCACTGAAGTGTATTCTCCCCCTCTATCACTTCTCAACTTTTTCAGTTTATAACCACTTTGCAATTCCACAGTGGCTTTGAATTTCTTAAACACAGTTAGAGCTTCAGACTTGTGTCTTAAGAAATAGACCCAACACATCCTTGTGCAATCGTCTATGAAAGTGAGAAAGAACCGATTTCCAGCTTTGGTAACTGTCTGCATAGGACCACAGATGTCACTGTGAATGAGTTCTAGTGGAGTTAGTGCTCTAGTGGTAGCCTCTCTTGGAAATGCTTCTCTACACTGCTTGCCTAGAACACACCCCTCACACACCTCTTTAATCCCTTTAATTTTTGGTAGTCCTACTACCATATCTTGTTCTTTCAACAATTTCAGACTACTCATGTTGAGATGTCCAAACCTTCTATGCCAAAGTTCAGTAGAATGATCTACACTTGCTTTATAAGCTAAGTGTATTTCAGCCTGCAGTTTCATGGGAAAGCTTCTATTACCTCTCATTTGTACCTTTGCAACCATATTTGAGAGAGAGCTGTCATTGTAGATTTCCACCTTGTGGTTTCCAAATACCAAATAGTAGCCGTGCTCTATCATTTGACCCATGCTGAGCAAGTTCTCTTTCAGTCCAGGTACCAGCATTATTTCTTTGATATTATCTCTTGCCTACTTTGGTTTCAACCACAAGTGTGACTTTACCAGTCACTTCTACACGTTGCCCAGTTCCCATTTCAACCTTTGCAGTCACATTTCTGTCAATATCCACCAGCAGATCCTCTTTTCCTGTCATGTGATTACTACACCCACTGTCCAAATACCAAACTTCTTCATCCCTTGTTATACCAGCACCAATTGCATTGCTAGCATAGAACATAGTTGGTGCAGCTTCCACTTGAGTAGCATAGTTAACCTGCTGTGTTGTTTTCTTGCTATAGCAGTCTTTTGCAATGTGGCCGAGCTTATCACAGTTATAACACTTTGGTTTGTCCTTGAATCGACACTCACCAAAGTGTAACTTACCACAGTGCTTGCAGGGAGTTTTAGTGCCTTCACTTGTCTTGTTATCCCACTTCTTGCCTTTTGATTTCCAATTCTTATGCTGCCTATTGTTCTGATCTCCAGTTTTAGCCGATTTAGCATCTACACTAAGGCTAGCAAATGCCTTCTCTGTTCTGTTTCAGAATGTCTATCTAACCTCAACTCAAAACTCTTTAGTGAGGCTACTACCTCCTGCACCTCAATTTCATTTAGATCTCTCGAGTGTTCAATAATTGAGCAGATAGAGTCATAGGCAGATGACAAGCTAATTAATAATTTATGTACTACTATTTCTTTAGACAATACCTCTTCATAGCTACGCATTTGGTTAATCACATCAAACAATTTTGTAATGTAGGCAGACAAAGATTCATCATCTCTCATTCTAGTATACTCAGACTCCCTACGCAGACTCTGTAATTTGACATTTCTTACCTGTTTGTCACCTCGAAATTCCTGCATCAAGAGATCCCAAGCTCCTTTAGAAGTTTCTTCATGAGAAATCCGAGGAAAAATCTCATTAGATACTGCCCCTTGAATCAGCCCCAATGCCTTTGCATCTTTCATCAGCTTCTCTGTTTCAGAACCACTTGAAACATCCCTTTTCATCTTCTGCTCACCAGATTCACCAGCTCCCTTTGATTCTTCCTTTTCCTTCTTCTTTTCAACAGAATCATCAGTTCCTTTCGAATTTGACCACTCTAATCCTTTTTCAACCAGATCCCATAATCCATGAGAGCTGAAGATGGTTCTCATCTTTATGCTCCAAAACTCATAATTATCGCCATTGAAGATTGGCGCTCTCACCTCCCCTCCAGATCCAGATCCAGCCATGTTAGACGCAGACCTTCACACACTAGCTTAAAGGAAAACGCAGCACCTTCACAGAATCGAACGCCCAGTGCAAACGATTGAACCTGGCTCTGAGGCCATGTTAGAATATCAAGACCATTATCTTGTATTTTGACTCTTAGATGAGAAAATGAGAGCTATCAGAGAGCAAGAGAGAAAACTTAGGGAAGAAGAAGAGCTAGCTGGATACTAACTCAGCTCCAAACAATTCATACGTATATTGCCTTCTGACAAAACCGTTAGGAGTAGCATATTCCTCTTACATCATTCAAATCTTAGCCATTCATTCACTACCCTATGAGATAGAGACACATGGCATACACTATTACATCCTAGCTGCACAGTTGGACTATTATCCAACGGCTACATTTTCAAACTTAGAATAATAAATCTATCTCAGCAGCTGCATTTATAAACTAACAATAACCCCCCGATCGTTATCACAAAGCCGCTTCTAGAAATTCGAGACCAGATGCGAAACCGAAGACGGAGATTCTGATAAAAGCGGTGAAGCGCCATGATGGCCTTCTTCCTTGGGCAAAAAGGCGGGCATAGTCTCGTCGTTGATGAGCTTGTAAACGACAAGGTAATTGTCCGACTTGAGATCCTTCTGGATGGTGTTGACGATCAAGATGATCAAATCGTGATCATCGCTGAGGAAGAGCAAAACGCGAGGTAACTGGTGCGTTTGAGTACGAGATTGTCGTCATGGGTCATCTTGACGGCGTGGATGTAGGAGAAGGAGCCTTCGTGGCCGAGCATTTCGAAGCAGACGAGGCGGATGATGTACTCCTTCATCTTGCGCTTGGGGATTTGGGCTCGGAGAGATGTGGTTTTAGGATTTCGATCTCGAGGAGGATGATGTGCTCTTCTTCAGCCTTGGATTGAATCGAGCTTCGCCGATGGACTTGACAAGGTCCATGAACTCCTTGGATTGGCCGAAGCCGCCTTGGGAGCCCATCGCAAGCTCTTGCCCTATGGTCTTCAGCTGCTCCATTGCTGTTGATGATTGGTGGAGTTAGGATTTTGCACTTGCCAATGCGCTGGAGATTAGGGTATGAATTTGGGGCATTAAATTGGTGAGTAATTTGGACTGAGTTCAATTGCATGAAGCAGCAGAAGAGAGGAGAGGAGAGAGGAGAGAGGAGAGAGGAGAGAGAGAAGCAAAAAGGGCTTTTAGTTTTGGGCTTTCTTTTTATTTTTTATTGGACAAACTACAGTAAACCCCCCAACTTATAGGGTCATTTACGAGTTCATACCCGATTTTGGGGACATTTACGAGTACATACTCAATGTCGCGGAAAACCTACAATTTGCCCCCTCCGTTAGCGAGATTTTCAGAAAATCCGTTATCTGCCTATGTGGCATTTGTGGGACCCATTTTTTAATTGACTTGGGATTTCACGTGGACAAAAAAATAAAAAAAATTACTTTTTAAATTATTTTAAAAAATTAAACATATTAAATTAAAAATGAAAAAAAAAACTAAAAACCCTACCCAACTTCTCTCTCTCTCCCCCCGATTTCTTCCCCCTTCCTCCCAATTTCTTCCCCCCCTAGATTTCTTCAACCCTAGATCGTCTTCCATTTCTTCGTGTCCCTCTGCCCCTTCAAAATCTCCCAAAGACATCTCGCAGACAACCCCTAAACCCGTACCGACTCCGAATCCACCACTAGGTCATTGATCTCCGCATCCACATAAAGCTCCTCCTTTTATCGAGCGAAGCCTGAAATTGGGGCTTTTTAGTGTTTTGCAACCTTAGGGTTTGAATTCAAATAGTGGCTCTGTTAAAGAACATGGTAAGATCTGTGCTCGAAGTGATGGGTGCCAATGTGAATTCTCAGAGTTTTGAGGAAAACCCAGATGGGTGCCAGGCAGAGATGATTGCAAGAGAGAGAAGAATCTCCATTTCCCAGTTCAAGTCTCTGTGCCACAGCAACAACAACATCAACAGCAACAGCAAGTCCAACAATACTTGTGTGGCCAAAACAAACAGTGGGGCAATGGAGTGTTGTGTTTGTCTGTATGGTTTTGAAGCTAAGCAAGAGGTGAGCGAATTGTCTTGCAAGCATTTCTTCCACAAAGGTTGCTTGGAGAAGTGGTTTGACAACAACCATTCTATTTGCCCTCTCTGCCGCTCTGTTGATTAGATATACAACAACTCTACAGAGGGTCTTTTACTCAGATGAGTTTTTTGGCTTTGGAAGGATTTCAGCTGTACTCTTGTTTTATTTTTGTTTTTGGGCATTCTCCTTCCCTGTTATTTTTTAGCACAAATTAGAGAAAGTTCTTTAACAATGTTGGTTTGCTTTATTTTGTGTGTGTACAAGTACCAAGAAGATTAAAAAGAATAAAAGAAGCAGGGGATTTGAGGCATTAATTTGAAGCTTTATCTGTGGTTTCTTTTGGCTTTTGTTTATGCTTCTCCCAAATCTCCAATCTGGAGCAGAAGTGGTTTTTTTGATTTTTTTGATTTTTTTTCATGAGGCCTTCAGAAGCGTCTGTCTGTCTGTCTCTCTTTCTCTTAAAGTTCTATTTTTTTGTGTCTCTCTACACTTGATCTGATGTTTAGCTTTGGATGCTTTGATTTCTAGCTGTTTTCTTTTCTAGGTTTAAGTCATTTTGGATGTCGGATGTCGGGGCTCAGAGACTTGGGGGTGGTGTTAGGCTGGGGTGGGCTAAGAGATTTCAGGCCGTTGGGTAGGCAAGGAGGGTTTGGTATGATGGTTTTTTTTCCTAATGGGTTTTGGTGGGCTGATGCAGGAGCATAGGGGTGGATCAAGATAGATATTTATCATTTAATTAGTTATTTCATGATATATTGTTATTTTCTTATTTAGGTAGTTTTAGGATATCTTTTATTATTTATGTGTGATTTTATAATTAATTAGTTGACTTTTGGACCAAGCAGTCTTGGTGCCCAAGTCTTGTAAAGCCTATAAATAAGGCTATTGTAATAGTTGTAGAAAGATGGAATATTGATGATTAATGAAATAGTTTATTTGTGGCATGAATTTGCTACGATATATGTGAGTTTGCACTAGCCCTAGATTTCGGTGCTCGTGTATGTGGTTGGTGACCTGTGTCCTGATCCCAATCCCCATCATGGGCGACGGGAGAAGGGTGGCTGATAGGTAGGGTTGAGTCGGAAGGAAGAGAGTGTTGGCTGGGTAGGAGAAGAGAGTGGAGATTTTATTTTATTTTATTTATTTTATAATGATTTTAATATTATTTAAAAATTATTTTTAACATGTATATAATTTTTTATTATTTATTTGTCCACTTGTAAGTCCACGTCAATTAAAAAATGAGTCCCATAAATGCCACATAAGCAGATAACGGATTTTCTGATGATCTTGCTAACGGAGGGGGCAAATTGTAGGTTTTCCGCAACGTTGAGTATGTACTCATAAATGTCCCCAAAATCGGGTATGAACTCGTAAATGACCCTATAGGTTGGGGGGTTTACTGTAATTTGTCCTTTTTTATATCAAAATAAGAACTTTCGTTGATATAGAAGCAACATTAATACAACTAGAGCTCATGGCTTCTCTAGGTGGCCTCATTAAACTCCAGACCATTCTCCAAGTCATACACACCATCTTCATGACTATTTTCAGTTGGATGAGTTAGTTCATTCTCAACATCATGTACAAAACCTTGTGATGGTGCCCAAGCTCCATCACCCGTCATAGCAATATCCTTAAATAAAATGTCTAATTGATCAGCATGTTTCAATCCACATGTTCGAAATTTTGCTGCTTCAGGAGTCTCCTACAATAATATCAACTTAAATGAAAAAGTTCTAAAAAAACTATGTATATTAGCTTCAGGTGTAAGAAAATATAAATCAATTGTATGATAAGAAATTCACCTTCACTTTCTTGTCCCACCATTCATTGCTAGAATTGATGGTTTTCTTCACAGTATCCCATCCTAGACCAGTCTCTTTCCAACCAAAGATGTCCACAACTGCCAATCTTTCTTAAGTCCATTCCATTTGTTCTTGAGTTGGTTTTGAGTGTAGGTCCTGAGTCAACTCACTAAATTTCCTTATAACATTTTTCCATCCTTGCTTACTAAAATGGCCACCTGGTCGATTTCCAGCTATTGTCTCAACAACACAAATTTTTATAAATGCATCAAGAGCTCATCATCCCACTGAGCCTTTCCTTGTTTCTTGCTTTCTTCTCCACATTCATCATGTGATGGCTTATCCGTATTATTAGACATGACTCTATTAAGAACATTGTACAATGAACACAAATTAAATACTTTCTACTATTATTTTTTTGTTGAAAGAGAAGAACCAAAAAAATTGAAAGACGAAAAAACTGAAAATCAAAACTCAGAAATCTTCAAAAGACGAAAAACTTAAATGAAAAAACAGAAGAAACTAACCAAACAATCCAATCCAAGTTGTTTGGGGTCAGACTTGAAAGTTACAAGACCAACTGGTTCAACCAGTTGTTCTGCCAAGTTTGGGGTTTAAAAAACCAAAAAACCAAAAAACCAACCCAATCCAATTCATAAACTTAGGTATTTTAATGAGGTGTTATAATTTTTATGGGATTGCGTATTATGCTTTGCCTGCACTTAATTATTATGTTCCAGCCCTAAATCATGATTTATTTTGTCTAACAGAAACAGATGGATGACATACGTTTATCATCAGAATCAAGCATAATCTTACGACTATCTCGTCCCAAATCTAGAATCTCCTTGTAGTTAAAAATAGGAAACCTTTCCTTCACTGACCAGGCTTGACTTCTCCGCCCATAACAGAACAATAAATTTAATAGGCTTGGAATAGAATTCTTCTGAAAATCGATTTAACAATTCAGGACTGTCCACAGCAAGTGCAACACTATTGTAGGAATGAAATTAAACTCAAAATTATTCCATGGAGTCAGCAATACTTTTGTAAATACGTAAACTCATTCATTATAGTTCCACGTACTTTCATTGATCTCAACCAAATCCCACTACTAACTCCCTAGAATGGGAAAGTTCAGATTAAGATACACAATGAATTCAAACAGATATGAACCAACTAACAGAACAGTAACATGAGATTTAAGCAAGACAAGTTAACAAGAATCAATGATTACCTCTCTTTCTGAAGAAGCAGAAATATGACAGATGAAGGGTACTGAGGCTGAACTTCGTTGTTGACCAGACTACGCCAAAACTCCAGAACAGAAATATGACAGATGAAGAGCAGATTGTGTGAGAGAGAGATGGAAGGTGTTTTGACGTCTGCAAGGTTTTGACATCTATTGGGCTTTTCGTGGGTAGAGTTTTGATTTTAATAGGAGAGAAAAAAAGAGAAAGAAATGGTATTTTGGCATTTAAAAAAAATTAAAGATGGGTATTTTCGGCATTTTGAAAGTTTCTTTAAAGGGAGCCAAGTGCTTCCCTTATTTTTGTCCTGCAACGCTTTTAAGAAGAAGCACCTCTCAAGTGCTTCTTCCAAAACCACTCCAAGTGCTTTTGGATCTCACCCAAAGAGCCTTTGCAATTTTTGCCAAACACCTTGTTTAAAAGAAAAAAACACTTTCACCCATTTAGAAGCGCTTTTCGCTGTTCCAAAAGCACTCCCAAACGAGCCCTAAATCATTGCCATAAAAACCCCAATAGAGGAAATCCGTTTAAGGAAAAAGAGTAGCACATCACTGCAATACATAATAAAAATAATCCCCTTGTCTATCTTTTCCTAGTAGAGGTTGAATCCATATTAGACCCACCCCTTCCTAGAAAAATTGATTGCCTTCCCTTATTCTAAATTGAGCCATAGCATGAGCCATACATTTACCTTCATGAGGCTGATAAACCACCTTTGCATTACCCAACTGCACCAGCAACATCCGAATATCATCAACTAGATTACCCACATTACTCAACCACCCATCAGTGCCATTAATCATATTCACAACTTCTTGTGAATTAGAAGCGATAGTCAAATAAACCATACCTTTAGCAGCTGCCAAAAGTAGCCACTATTCTCCGCTATGAATAGTGGCCAACTCAATTCCCAAAATGTCGGAACCATCTGAGCTAACAGCCGCAAAACTGCAACAAAACTCACCATGGCAATCAAGAACCAAATCGCCCACCTCTTCGCCTCGTATTCCTCTTAATAGGACCATCACAATGCAAAACCAATTGTCCAGAAAGTGGTTTAATCCACCTAAGATATCGAGGCACCCAATCAGCTTTTGTTTTTACATTTCATTCTTAATGTTTGCATTAACCAAAGGAATTTTCTGGTATTTTGAATGTTTTACTATTCTCTGTCAACTTTCATTCATATAGAATCAATAAACATCAATATAACCAAAACTCCTAACTTCTCTAGGGGCTACAAAGTCGCTTCATTAAAACCTTGTCATAAAAACTCCCAATAGATAAAATCCGGTCAAGAAAAAAGAGTACCACAGCACCGCAATATATAATAAAACTAACCCCGTTGTCTATCTTTTCCTAGTAAAGGTTGAATCCATATCGAACCCACCCCTTCCTAGAAAAATTGATTAACTTATGTTTCCCTCTTTTCGGCCGAGGCGGCCGACAGAAGGAACTTTTGATCCTTCTTCTTTTAAGTGCGGGGCTTGCCACCACCAAACCCCGAATTTGGGCTTGAATGTGATGAGAATAGATGAATGTGTTGCCCTTCTAACTTCTGACCAAATGATTGATCGGCCAAGCAAGGAGCCTCCTCTTGGCCAAGATTCTTTCACTTCCTCAGGCTCGAGAATGGTTAAGTTTCGTACGGATGTTTTTGTGATTTTTATGGTTTTAAGTAAAAATAATGCAATTAAACTAAATATGCGTAGAAACGTAAAGACAAGAATTGAAGTGCGATAAAATAAATCAAAACAATAAATAAAACAAGATCAAAATAAAAGCGATAAGAACAAAAATGAAATAAACTTGAAGTTAAACTTAATTGAAGTGCGATAACAATGTAAATTAAAGCAATAGAAATAAACTTGAATTTAAAAGACAAGGAATGTAAATCGAACAAGAATTTAAATGACAAGAAAATATAAACCTACACTAGAAAAAGGAAGAACTTGCTACACTAGGTGCTTAAAAAATAATATCCTAAGTCTAGGAAAAGAAAAGTGCGAGATGAAAGATAAGTTTGTTTGTCTGATGTTGTGTGTCTGAAGTCTTCGTCGAGCAAGGTTTATATAGGGCACTCGTCAGCCCATGAGCTGGCCATTAAATGGCCAAAGTTCAATTCTTTTAAAACTTCTTTCATTCCAAGGCCCCCCTAAATCCGTAGGATTGCATTGATTGAAATATTCTGACATGCTTGATTCTTCCTTGCTTTGGAACACTCGGAGTTACCATAAAAATTCCCTTGATTTCTTTCCTTGTGAAGTCTCCGTCATGTGCACATAATCCTCCGAAAATCTGGGCTTGAATCGTTGGCTTAAACTTGGGCATCCAATTTCTCTTATATTGCCATCCATATAATATATATTAGATTTCATCTTATTCAATATATATATATATATATATATATAGGGGGCGGATCCGTGGCACTACGTTTTTTACACAAGTTTTGACACAATTTTTGGGCCATTAGATTACTCTACTTTCAGTGGTTGAGATTAAACTTGACATGGGAAATAATTTTAATTTCTTAATTAGACAATCATTAATTTTATTTTCTCTCTCACCATAAAAATAAAAGAAACGATTTTCTCTCTCCTCCCTTTTTCTTGGTAATCTCTCTTCTTTCTCGCACACATCTCTCTCATCTCTTTCATGAGACCATAAAAAATATCGGTCTCTTTTTCTCTCTTTGTCTGCAACAAGAGTCTCCTCCCTCCCTCTCTTTCATGAAACCAGAAAAAACCTCCATCTCTTTTGAGGGTTTGATTTAGGGATTTTAATCTTCTCATATCTGAAACTGACTGACTGACTGACTATTTTTTTTTTTTTTTTTTTTTTTTTTTTTTTTTTTATTAACTTTTATCGTTTAATAATAGAGAGAGAATACAGAGAGTGAAAAATTTGAAAATTTGCCGCAACATTTGTTGATTATCTCGAGAAGAGGGCAAGTTCCACGGATCAACCTTCACTTTTACCAATTAGATGAGCTTAGAACTTCTTTAATTTGAATCACCATTCATGATTAAAAATGATGTTCTATGACTGGCAGCTATCCTTTTGGAACTATTGAAATTCTTTAGATAATTGAAATTAGACAAATGGCTTAATTTTGATTAAGATTTTTATGCTTGAAAACTTATAGAATATACACTGGTAGCCTTGGGGTTATACAATATACACAGGTTACAAGTAGCCTTGGGGGAAAGTCATTTTTGGAGCTACAGGTTGTTGTGAATCATGTGCTTAATAAACTGGGCATTTACCATTCCAGAAATTGGCTACAGCTGTGATTGGAAGTTGACTTGAAATTTAATTAATTTTCCTGGAGATATGGGACTGAGAGTTGGAGGAATTATCTTGTGGGTGCTCCAATATTTTGGTGATACAATATCTATATTAAGATAGGAGAAATTGCTTTGACATAAAAGAAAAAACTACTGAAGATGAATTGATGGTTGCATATGCATGTGCAGGAAGAAGGGGAAACTGAAGAGACTCTTCACGGTTTGGGGCTTTGGGCCTTTAGTTTTTGGTGAAATTCTTTATTTATTACACCTTAATAAATATTTGATATTAAAGAGGCAGCTGGGATTACGTCTCCAAGAAAAAAGGGAGGAGAGAGAAAATCATTTCTTTTATTTTTATGAGAGAGAAAATAAAATTAATGATTGTCTATTTAAAAAATTAAAACTACTTACCTTGTGAGGTTTAATCTCAACCATTAAAAGTGGAGTAATCTAATGGCCCAAAAATTATGTCAAAACTTGTGTCAAAAACATAGTGCCACGGATCCACCCCCATATATATATATATATATATATATATATATATATATATATATAAGCATACTAAACCTTCCAGCCTGGCGTGCATGCACATTTACTCATCTATATATATACTTATATATATATGTATATGTATTATAAGATAGGATCAGGAAGGTTTGCAAAAGTTTGGCCGCACACTCCAAAACAGCTGCCCACCTTGCAAAGGTTCCTAAAGCACCAGTTGCCCATTCACTCATTTATATATATACTTATATATAAATATAAAACTAGTTCTAAACCTTCGGCCGCATGTATACATATATATACTAAGGCAAGTGGACTCCAAAAACCCTTATGCCCAATTTTCAAAGAGACCAAATACTCCAGCCGCATCTCTTTGCAGCCCTTCATCTGTCTAGTCGTGAAAAATTGGGCATCAACGACAAATAAAATCCAATCGCTCCAATCTAGCAAGCCCCGGCCGCGTTTTCAAAAGCCTAGGGACTCAGAAACCCAGCTGCCCAGTTTCATCTGTGCCTAGCTTCATTCGGCCCAACTCCGTAGTTGAGAAGCCCGGCTGCTATTCTTCTTGTGCCCGGCCGATTCTCGTGTCCGGGTTAAGTGGATTTCTACCACCCCTAAACACCTTCCCTCGTCCAAAGAAATCCATAGCATGAGCCACACTGTTACCTTCACGAGGTTGATAAACCACCTTTGTATTACCCAACTGTGAGACCTTGGAAATTTTATGCTGATTAGAAACTATTTGTAAAATTTTGGAGAAAATATTTTTGGATGTGATTAAAGAAAAGTACATGTGTTTATGAGTGTCTATGAGTTCGTAGTATTTTTCGGAGATTTTTTTGGAGTTCGGATGAATTTTTGGTGATCTAGGAGTGTTGGAAACTAAGAAGTAACGCGGCATTATCTGAACTCTTGAGTTGGATACGTGGGTAGCTTCTGAAGAGCCAATGTGGCACCTAAGTGTGGGGTTTTATCACATACAAAACCCAATAAGTGTGGAGTTTTATCACAAAAGGGCTCGGTGTTATTAGTAGTAGAACTATTCACTATATTTTGTCGTTTATTTAGTCAAGTTTTCGATGTGGGACTCATATTCTTCAACACGCCACTGCACATATGGCGAACTTTCCCGCATAACACGTGGACAACACATATTGAGTGACGTGGGAGCACGTGTGAGTGTTGGACCCAACACTTGAAACTTGGCTCTAATACCCACCATGTTAAATTCAAAGAGACGAGCCAGCGGCCCACTACTAACAACACTGATATTTTCTCCAACTTAACCAGCTATAAAGCCCAGTAGGTGTGAGGTTTTATCACAAAGGGCATAGAATTATTTATTATATTTTGTATTTTATTTAGTCAAGTTTCCATTCATATTCTTCAACATACCCCGTCAAATAGGGCCACCACATAGTAGGCCACATGTGAGCACCACATATTGGATAAGAGTAAACATTCAAGCCCAACATGTGAACACCACATGTTGGGTAAGTGGTAAGGGTAAAGGCTTAGTAATTCAGGCCTAATCAACCTCGCTCTAATACCATGTTAAATTCAGAGAGCCTGCCCAGTGACCCACTACTAACAACATTGATATTGTCTCCAACTTAACCATCTATAAAGCCCAGTAGGTGTGGGGTTTTATCACAAAATGTCTCGATATTTTAGTAGTTGTTAATGGATCACACCATCATTATGAGCCGAACCTATTAAAGGACACCACATAGCCATAGTGGGTTGGGTCACTCATGTACCGACTTGATCATGTGTGATACCCTGGGTATCGACAAGGAGCTTCCCAGCTAAAACTCGATAGAACAAATGCAGAACAATACCTGAGCCGGCCACTGGGGTGCTGTACGCAACCAGAGGCGCATTGATGATATACATGCGGTATCAAACCCTTGTCAAGTCAATCACTCTAGTGATCTAGACATACAACGTGAAGATGAGAAGAGATCAGTTAATGTACTTCCTATGCAAAGCCACGTGTCACATCGTCGCCTGATCCCTGTCAAAAAGCAAAGTGATCAGGACAGGTCATTAAATGTAACCCCCAGGGGGGAGGAAGATAAATATCTCCTCCCTAAATATCTTTGTCTCTCCCTCTCCCCATATAAATACTTCTCACCTATCTCCAGATTAAGGTAATAAATATTTTCACCTAGTAAACCCTACATCCATTTCTCCACCTCAAAATAGCTTATGACTAAGCCATTGGAGGGGGCTCAACTGGGATTAACCCCAGTTCGCTCGTACTATGATAAATTGTTCTAAGTGTGCAGGTCTTCTCCAGAAGGCTACACCACCACGAGATCAGATAGAAGCCTAGGCTTCCATCCAGGTTCGAGTCACGCTACATCCAAGTTCGAGTCACGCTTCATTATATTTTGTATTTTATTTAGTCAAGTTTCCGATGTGGAACTCATATTCTTCAACAAGGTGTTGATCTCTTCTTTCCCCACGTGTGTGTTAGTGGTTCCAAAGAGAAAAAAAATGGGGGCAAACATGATTTTTAGTAGGGTGGGCATCGTGATTGGAAAACTGGAACACCTAATCGGATCGGATTAAAAAAACAGGAAAAAAAAATGGTTGACCAAAAAAGCCAACAAACTGGCACTGAACTGGTTTTGATTTCAATTTCACACTGCACCAAATCCGATCAGACCGAACCGGACTAATTTTGTATATTTTTTTAACAAAATTATTTAAATCCAATGCTACATTTTTTATTTTATAACTAATATTTTTCCAAGTCCAATTTCAAAGCATCTCTCTTTGTATGAATTGGATCATTTGTTAATTTTCATGTCGAAAAAATAAATGTTTTGTTAGAATAAAAAAATAAGGGCTCGTCTAGTAATGTTTTCAGATAGCATTTTTAGAGAATGTTTTCATAGAATGAAAACTAGAAAATGAAAATGCATTTTCAGAGAACAAAAACGTCTATGGTAGCTTAGTTGAAAACTGTTTTCAAAGAACAAAAACAGTGAAAACGCGTCTAGCAGTAATATGTGAAAATGACAAAAACAGTGAATATGTATGTAACTTTAATTAAAATGCATTATGTTTTTCTAATACAACATTATGTAATCAATATGTGAGTAAAAAAAAAAAAAAAAAAAAAAAAAAAAATAGTATATATTATTTTAAAAAGTACTTTTTAATCATCTAAAAGAATATCATTTAAAAAAATAGAATAAAATTCTATAGTATAAAACTAGAATTATCTTTAAAAAAAGAAGAAAAAAAAGAAACCTCAACCCAACCTTCGCTTTCACTCTCTGCAAACCCACCCCAATTCTATCATTCCTCTCTCTCTCTCTCTCTCTCTCTCTCTCTCTCTCTCTCTCTCTCAAAAATTAAGAATTAGACCAACCCCCCTCTTTTCCACTTTCTCTTCATGCTGCTGCACCCGTTCTCAATCTCTCTCTCACTGCAACTTCACCTTCTAATAGACAAAAGCGCTTTTACCCATTTAGAAGCGCTTTTCGCTGTTCCAAAAGCACTCCCAAACGAGCTCAAAAAAACCCCAATAGAGGAAATCCGTTCAAGGAAAAAGAGTAGCACATCACTGCAATACATAATAAAACTAATTCCCTTGTCTATCTTTTCCTAGTAAAGGTTGAATCCATATTAGACCCACCCCTTCCTAGAAAAATTGATTGCCTTCCCTTATTCTAAATTGAGCCATAACATGAGCCATATTATTACCTTCATGAGGCTGATAAACCACCTTTGCATTGCCCAATATCATCAACTAGATTACCCATATTACTTAACCACCCATCAACGCCATTAATCATATTCACAACTTCTTGTGAATTAGAAGCGACAGTCAAATAAACCATACCTTTAGCAGCTGCCAAAAGTAGCCCGCTACGAATAGCCACCAACTCAATTCCCAAAATGTGGGAACCATTTGAGCCAACAGCCGCAAAACTGCAACAAAACTCACCATGGCAATCAAGAACCAAATCGCCCACCTCTTCGCCTCCTATTCCTCTTAATAGGACCATCACAATGCAAAACTAATTGTCTGGCGATTTGTTTAATCCATATAAGATACCGAGGCACCCGATCAGCTTTTGTCTTTACATTGCATTCTTAATATTTGCATTAACCAAAGGCATTTTCTGGTATTTTGAATGTTTTACTATTCTCTATCAACTTTCATTTATATAGAATCAATAAACATTAATATAATCAAAGCTCCTAACTTCTCTAGGGGCTACAAAGTTGCTTCATTAAAACCTTGTCATAAACAAGGATTAAAATATCGGCCGTGCAAATAATATCGGGCCTCCAATTTACATATATTTCGGGGGATATATCGTTATTGTTTTAGGTATCGGGAAAAAATCAACAAAAATGACAGATATAGACATTGAAACACATAATTTTTGTGTAAAACTTTCATAGATGTTATGTACATTATCAATGAATGTATTGAACAAATAAAACTCAAAATTTACTAATAATAAGATATACATATGATGAAATATAAGTGGTATGTAATGCGCATTAATGAAAAGTTTGAAAATAAAATGTTAATTAGAATGAATAAACCATGCATAAATCCATAGTTTGTTTAAACATTGTATTACAATTTAGATAAGTGTCCATCTACATAAATGAAGAGCTCCAATGAGGTTCAAACAATGAGGAACAACTATCTAGATTCATACAATAGTCATACCAAGTCATGTAACCCGAGTAGTTTGTAAGCCATGTTTAAACATGGTGCACATAGGTCTCTCTTGAGCTCCCTATTGTCCTCCCATATATGGGATAGTTAGGATTAACCAACTAGTAGGTCCATAATTTTTTTTTATCATCTTGAGCTCCATAACTAGTTCTACTATAATTAGACATGACATAAACGTAGACATCATAAGATTCATTTGAGTTAGTACTAGGTCTAGTTCCTATGTTCATAGATCCAAAACTGATTGCCATGTCCAAGGATTGAAATATCGGCCGATACACCGATATATCTGCCGATATATCGGTATTTTCAACTATCGACATCGATACTGGGGGGTAAGGCCATATCTTCCCCTGTATCGACGATATATCCCCGATAAGTGCGATATTCCCGATAATTTGCCGATATCCCCGATATTTCCCGATACCCATAACATAACCCAAAAAAAAATCAAAAGTTTTGAAGGCAATTGAAACAAATTGAAACCCAAAAATAGTTAATCCTTGCCCAAAACCCTATAATGTATTAATATGAAGAATCTATGCATAGTCCACTGCCCACATACCTCCAATCCATCTGAAGAGGATATGGCAATCAGTTTTGGATCTTTGAACATAGGAACTAGACCTAGTACTAACTCAAATGAATCTTATGATGTCTACGTTTATGTCATGATAGTGGAACTAGTTATGGAGCTCAAGATGATAAAAAAAATTATGGACCTACTAGTTGGTTAATCCTAACTATCCCATATATGGGAGGACAATAGGGAGCTCTTCAGATGGATTGGAGGTATATGGGCAGTGGACTATGCATAGATTCTTCATATTAATAAATTATAGGGTTTTGGGCAAGGATTAACTATTTTTGGGTTTCAATTTGCTTCAATTGCCTTCAAAACTTCTGATTTTTTTTTTGGGTTATGTTATGGGTATCGGGAAATATCGGGGATATCGGCAAAATATCGGGAATATCGCACTTATCGAGGATATATCGTCGATACAGGGGAAGATATGGCCTTACCCCCAAGTATCGATGTCGATAGTTGAAAATACCGATATATCGGCAGATATATCGATGTATCGGCCGATATTTCAATCCTTGGTCATAAAAAATCCCAATAGAAGAAATCCGGTCAAGAAAAAAGAGTACCACAGCACCGCAATATATAATAAAACTAACCCCATTGTCTATCTTTTCCTAGTAAAGGTTGAATCCATATCGGACCCACCCTTTCCCAAAAATATTGATAACCTTCCCTCAGTCCAAATGAAGCCATAGCATGAGCCACACTGTTACCTTCACGAGGTTGATAAACCACCTTTGTATTACCCAACTGTGATACCCTGGAAATTTTATGGTAATTAGAAACAATTTGTAAAATTTTGGAGAAAATATTTTTGGATGCGATTAAAGAAAAGTACATGTGTTTGAGTGTTTATGAGTTCGTGCTATTTTTCGGAGATTTTTTTGGAGCTCGGATGAATTTTTGGTGATCTAGGAGTGTTGGAAACTAAGAAGTAACGCCACATTATCTAATCTCTTGAGTTGGATACGTGGGCAAATTCTGAAGAGCCAATGTGGCACCTAAGTGTGGGCTTTTGTCACATACAGAACCCAATAAGTGTGGGGTTTTAGTAGTAGAACTATTCACTAAATTTTGTCGTTTATTTAGCCAAGTTTCTGATGTGGGACTCATATTCTGTTGAGCCTATTCTTAACAACTAAAATGAGTTATTAAAAACAGCAACTTTAATTGTCACAAGTGCACGAACCGTTTATAGTATAGCTTATGTAAATACGAGGTCGATCCCACAGAGAATGGTAACTTGGTTCCAAGTTAAATTACTTAGAATGCTAGAAAAACATAGAACAAAGAAATTGACTAACTAGCTAAAGGCAAGGTCGAATTCAACAATGCCTCTTGCTAATTACTCAAGGTCTAGGACAGAATCCTAGCACCACACACGCACTCGAAATGGGGGGTTTTGTTGTTGAAATGAAAAGAAGAACGTGAAATGAAAGTGCTCGAAAGTAAACACTGGCAGCAATCAATAAGTTGTGAAACAAAGACTGAGAGGTGTTAGAGCCTTGGAATCTACCACTAGTCTTCCTATCCAAGTCATGAATGCATAGAAATTGACTCAAGCTTCATCAATAATAGATTATCGCATACAAGCCTATGGTATCTAGGTGCAGGATGCATGATTCTCCTAAGGCATGTGATTATGCACAGTATCTACACAACATGTGATCTCTAATATGCAACCTAAGCATGGTATCTAGAATAAAGCATACAAGAGTCATTAGGCTCCTTGAGAATATGATAATCACACAAGTCCTAGAACATGGTATCTGTCCTAGTCGACCTATGGTTATTAACCCCTTGAATGATTCTTAGGCCATTCATGTGTTGCTTGTGAAAGGAGAGTAGAATTGGTGAATCTAAACCCCTTCCCAACCTGTGCTAGATGCATGAAATCCTAGTTAGCTACTCCAAGAAAACATACATCAAGCACATAATAAACTGGAGATTAACAACTTGATAATGAAAGCAAGGAAATCAATTAACTATAAAATCATCCATAACATTGAATATTCATGACACTACTACATTTTACACTTTGCGCGACGAAGAGAATTTCGTCGCGCAAAATACATTGTAGTCGCACAAATTTTAGTGCGACAGAAAGTTCGTTGCACAGAAAGACTTTGTGCGACGAAGTTTTTTCATTCGTCGCTCAAAGAGACTTTGCGCGACGAAAAAATATTGGTCGCTCAAAGTGACTTTGCGCACGAAAAACATTGGTCGCGCAAAGTAACTTTGTGCGACGAAAGACATTGGTTGCGCGACGAAAAAATTTTAAAAAAATATTTTGGTTTTTGACTTTTAGTTTTATTATTTTGATTTTATATTAATTTAATTATATTAATTATTTCAAATTTTTGCGTAACGAAATATTAATTTAATTATATTAATTATTTGCGCGACGAAATATTTTGGTTTGACTTTTTGTTTTATTATTTCTTTAATATTAATTATTTCAAATTTTTACTTTTTAAATTTAATTTAATTGTATGATTTTTTTCGTTACTTTAATTTAAATTGATATTTATTTAATTATATTGATTTATTCAAATTTTTACTTTTTCAATTAAATTAAATTACTTTAATTTAAATTGACATATTCAAAATAAAATTACATATGAAAAATAGTGATCAAATTATCCAATAAATATATATATAATATTCAAAATGTACACATAAATTAACAAAGTACAATAAATAAAAGAAAGGGATAATCTCCCCTAAAATTGTTATACAACAAATCCAACCCAAACTCCAATCCCTCCCCTTTACTCAACCTCAAACCCCACACAAACTCAAAACTAACTCCAAAAACACATATTAATGAAAAAAATTTAAAATTTGGAGAGAATCTACCTTTTGGCAAGATTGAGAGTGAGTGAGAATGAGAGAGAGAAGTGAGTGTGAGAGAATTAGAGAAGATAGTGATAGAGAGATGAGAGAGTGAGTGAGAGTGAGAGATAGTGAAAAGAGAGATGAGAGAGTGAGTGAGAGTGAGAGATAGTGAAGAGAGAGATGATGAGAGATTAAGTGAGAGGAGTGAGTGTGAGAGAAATAGTGGGATTTGGGGAGAGGGAAAGAGAGAGGAGAGGCAAGAGTAGAGAAAGACATTGAGAAAATGGTGGAGTTATTTTCATTTTTAAAACGGTATCACTTTGCGTGACGAACGATGTTGTTGGTCGTGCAAAGTTTTGCGCGACGAAAAAAATTGGAGTATTAGTCACGCAAAGTTTTGCGCAACGAACAAAATTGGTCACGCAAAGTTTTGCGCGACGAATACTGGAATATTGGTCGTGCAAAATTTAGCGCGACGAATATTAGTATATTGGTCGCGCAAAGTCAAAAAAAAAATCCCACGTCCCATTTTTGGTACCCACCCAAATTTTGAAATTTTTGCGCAATGAAAAATACATATTGCTCGCGCAAAGTCTAAAAAAATTATATAAAAAATTCCCGCGTCCCATTTTTGGTACCCGCCAAATTTTTGCGCGACGGAAAATATATATTGGTCGCGCAAAGTTTTGAGCGACACAAAATATTGGTCGCGCAAAGTCTAAATTATTATTTTTTTTAAAATCCCGCGTCCCATTTTTGGTACCCACCCAAATTTTTAGAGTTTTGCGCGACGAATTGTTGGTTGCGCAAACTTTTGAGAGACGAAAAATTGGTTCGTAGCACGATATTTATAAAAATAATTGTTATGAATAATAAAAATAAAATTA